CAACACCATCACAGGACCTAACCAGATCAGCTACAACATCACCGGCTCATTCACCTGCACGTCCACCAATGTTATATATGACATCATATGCCAGCAATGCCCCTCTGCTATGTACATTGGTCAAACTGGACAGTCACTACGCAAGAGGATAAATGGACACAAATCAGATATCAGGAATGGCAATATACAAAAACCCGTAGGAGAACACTTCAACCTCCCTGGCCACACAATAGCAGATGTAAAGGTAGCCATCTTACAGCAAAAAAAACTTCAAGACCAGACTCCAAAGAGAAACTGCTGAGCTCCAGTTCATTTGCAAATTTGACACCATCAGATCAGGATTAAACAAAGACTGTGAATGGCTTTCCAACTACAGAAGCAGTTTCTCCTCCCTTGGTGTTCACACCTCAACTGCTAGCTGAGCACCTCACCCTCCCTGATTGAACTAACCTCGTTATCTCCATACTGATTTATACCTGCCTCTGGAGATTTCCATTACTTGCATCTGAAGAAGTGAGGTTCTTACCCATGAAAGCTTATGCTCCCAATACTTCTGTTAGTCTTAAAGGTGCCACAGGACCCTCTGTTACTTCAAATCTTGTTAAAGTTGAGGAAGAGAAACCCATATGGCTATCCAAACAAATGGCAAGATAATGCATCAGGCTAGATCTTCAGCTAGTGTAATCAACATAGCTCCATTCAGATCATTAGACTACATTTATTTATACTGGCTGATATCCTGGCACGTTGTGTGGAAATAGATGAGATATAATCACTTTTCATTTGAATTTTGAGTTGAATGTCTCTTAAGATGAGTTGCCTAAAAAAATGATTTTGTATGATGGTTAATGAAGAAGTACTTTACAGGTATGTGTTTAGGTCTACTATTGGGGCCGGTTATCCCCTTCATGTACCGATCTACTCATGTTTCTGGGAATGGGAATGACATTTATTCATTGAGGCCAAGATTTTGGGTGCAATTGAGACACCTTAAAAGAGCCTGATTTTCAGAAAGTGCTGAAAATGCGGCTCCTGCAAGGTATCTCAGAATGTGCACCCAAAATCATCAATCTCTTTTGAAAATCTAGGTCTGAGATTTTTGCAGAAGAAAACAGATAATTTATAATAGTGCCTAAGGAGTAGGCTTATTAATTCTAAATAAGAGTGAAATTAAAAGTAAAGGGCTAAGGTAACAGATTTGCTGTGAATAGCAATATGGCTGCTATTTTTTACCATATGAAATGTTTTGGTCCAGATTAATACCTGCAGCAAATTTACCTTTGGTCTTTTTTCTTAACTTCATGTGGTCATGGAACCCACCCAGCACCCAATCCTTTGGACATGGGCTAGGGTCAACCAAGTTCAGCAGAATGCGCATGCCAGCAGGTCTAACCCTTAGCCCCTCCATATAGCTTTTCCTGCAATGTTGACACTACCTTTTTTTTCCTTGGCCTCTTCTGTAACATCAGGAGCAAAGGTGTTATCCATCCCAGCCAAAAGTACCTACCCCTGCCCTGCTTCTTTACTGTGCTTCTGTCTCTAAACGCTTCGCAACATCAGGGACTCTTGAGGATTCCATCACTGACTTGTCCAGCTACAGCTAAACCAGCTGCCTCCATTGCTCCTAAAATCTTCCTAGCAACCTTTCCCCTACCTCCTGTCGGACTAGGTAGTGTATTCACTGCAGCTGCACCATTGTAGCGTTTTAAGTGTAGACAAGCTCTAAGGCTTGCTCCTAAACCTTTCAAGTGAATAGGTGTTTTTCCATTGACGTGAATGGGAGCCATATCAAACCAATAGGCATTTTCGAAAACTTTGCCCTCAGTCCTCTGTGGTATGACCCAGGGCAGAGATACTTGCAAATGTTACTGGCTTTTCCCCAAGGGAGGGAAGGTTCAGCCAACTTTCACAAATCTGTTCCAGCTGCACTGTTGGAATTGTTGATCTCTACGTTTTTTCTTTCTTTCATTGTCAACTCTCAAGGGTACCAGGAAGGGTGAAGCAAGTTGATTTTGGTACTGTATGATTTTTGTGTTCTGGCTTGGGACTATTAGTTCTAAGACTCCAATCTCCTTGTTCTATTGAAAAAAGCACTTCTGAACTTGTTTGTTTCAATGGATTCACTGTTTTAGGGAGCTCGGTGACAGCATATGGGCATTTCTTCATGGAGCCAATTACAGGTCAGGGCCTTGTTCTATTTTCCAATTGGAGTAGTATATGCCAGCAAGTGTTTTCTTTCTTTAAATAAAGTTCATGATTTGCAAATATATATGACTTCCACTAATTTTTGTGGAATAAAATATTCCCATTTAGTTTTTATTACTCACCGAGCTCTAAAACATACAACACAGCAGAGAACACAAAATGGAATATGTGCACTGCATCGCAATAAAAACAGATAAAACCGAACCCAATCTTTAATCAACAATAAACAATTCTATTGTTTTAAGGAGGGGGAAATCTTGCCCTCTCCTCCAAAGCTGCAGCGTGCTCAGTGATCCACAGCAGAACTTGTGTGATTCTATGAACAGGTAGTGGAAGGATTAAGAACATGTCTGCAGAATACTGTTTTTAAGGATTACCTGCACACCAGCACAGAATGGGGCTTTGGAGGTATGCAGGGCTAGAGGAAGATCAGACTAATTGCCAAGCAGATCCATGACCATGTAGATCCGCTGGCCAGTTCCTCTACAAATGGGGTGTGTGGGTGTGGATGCATGTACACCTGCTGCAGCCAGAAGGCTATGAAGAGGCTTGAAAGAAGGATTCTTTCCTCCCAGCCCCTACAGAATTCCCCAACCCAAATTCCAGTTACTCAGGCTGTACATTAGGGACAGAAATTTTTACCCCTGCATTTTAGTCCAAATAACAATTCGGTACCACTAAGTCCATACGTAAGTGTGACCTAAGAACCTCTGGATGCCAATTGGCAGAGAACTCTGGATATATAGGGGTACAGGGATCCCCTGGATCCACCAAAAGAATGTCATGTAAGGTCTCTAATGCAAGCCTGTATCACACTAGTCATCAAAACCATTGTGAGATGTATGTATGGAGAATATGTGAGGAGTTATTTATGTACACTAAAATTGTTCTCTAGGTCTGTAGTTAAAAACAGCTCACTCAAAGGGTAGGTCCACACTTACCTCCGGATCCGGCGCTAAGCAATCGATCTTGTCTAGATGGGATAAATCGATCCCGGATCGATCCCGGAAGTGCTCGCCGTCGATGCCGGTACTCAGCACCTTGCCAGTCATATCCAAGTTCGAACTAAGGTACTTCGAATTCAGCTACATTATTAACGTAGCTGAATTTGCGTACCTTAGTTTGAAGTGGGGGGTTAGTATGGACCAGGCCAAAGGTAGCATGTCTTGAGACTCCTCCCCAGAAAGGGGGTGGCAGACACTTATCTCCAGGGGGGACCATTGTGTATTGTACGTCATACAATAGAAGTCTATTAGCATTCTAAGTCAAAAGCAAATGGAGAGCAGGTGGAGACTTAAGAAGGAAACTGACAAGAGGAGGTAAACAGAGGGGGCTAGCTTGAGGTTAACCTCAAAGGTCTGTTCTGGTATATTTAGGGATGCAAAGAGACACCCTGGTATCCTTCACCTAGGAAGTAAACTGACAATGAGTTTGCTTAGTGAAAAGGGATCTCAATCAGGCGTTGTTGGAAATGCTGGAGAGAACTTTGGGTGAGATAACTTGTTAGTTACCTTTGGGCTTTAGAATACATGTGGTGGTGGTGGTTTATATGTTACCATTTGTTTCCATCTCTTACAGTGGTTTTTATTTGAATCTCTATTTTTTTCTAAATACATTTCCTTTAGTTTTACTAATTGATGTCAAGTGCTGAGAGCAATACAGGAGCAGGGGGGAGGGGTCTAAGGTAAACATGGTAAACTGTGGTACACTCTTCCTTTAGGAACAGAGGATCTAGGATTTCTGTGGGTATCCAGTGATCAGGGGCTGAATACCACAGTGGGACACTTTGAAGGGCCTTGGGGGTTCGGGTTAATCTGTTGTCAACCTGCAAGGCAAAGACAAGGCTGATGTAGCCCAGAGCACAGCACGTGAGTGGGTGACAGGCTGGTTGCGTTAGGGAGCAGATGGTAACAAGGTGACTCTCCACCCTGGATGTCCTGAGAAGCATCACTGTAACCTTCTATAAAGAAATATTTCCTTCAGTAAGCTAGTGATTTTTTTAATGCAGTTCCTCATTATTCTATGACATGAAATAGATGGAGTAATTCCCCTTCCCAAATTAATGGGAAGTCTTGAATTCATTGGATATTTTTGATACACAAGGAACACAGGATAAGCCCACAACTTTTTCATTTTGTTACTGGAGTTGTGCAATCTTGGTTATTTACATTCCAGCAAAGAACGTACTGAGCCTTGTGCCTCATTGAGCATGCAGCATGCACAGCTATCTCAGAATTACATAACCCTTGCTTACTTTGACCTTGTGTGAAATCCAGTCACTTTCTCTTGTAATCTCCTACAAGTACAACTCTAGTGTAGTGGATACAGTGTTTGTTGCTGGTGTTTCAGTAAACATCCCCGCTGTTCAGTGTTTGCTATGACTCACCCTTTTCTTGCTAATGTAACATATAGCTTGAGACTTAAAAACTTGCTTCCAGTTGATGACACTTAGATGTTGATGTTTTGCCATCAGTTTCAAAAGGTCTCCTTATAACACTTATAACTTATGTTTTCTTTTCCCATATGGACTTAATTTTCAGTGCCCCCAGTACTTTTTGTTATATGTATTATATATATTATAGAGATGCTTTTCCCTTGTGAGAGCACTGCTCTGGGTCTTCTTTACCAAACCCTTTACTTGTCCCTTTGTTGTGTTTATCCTCCCCATCTCTTTCCTTTCCTATTACAACATCTCCTCCTCCACTTTCACAGTGATCATTTTTGGGGTCCAGGACATAAATAAAACCCAACTTGCAATGTTCTTTATTTTGTCGTATTCATAAAATCTTAGTACAGAAGCTCTCCCCCAGCCCCCATTTAGTTCCACAAATGTGCAGCCACATTTTTGTAAGCATTCACTAATTTTGGGTGCCCAACACATGCCAGATTTTTAGCATTGCTGAGGCCCTAAAGTGCCAGTGGAATTGTCTACTGGGATACCATCTCCAGAGTATCTGTTCTAGTGGGAAATGCAGATTTTCAGTATATCTGAAAATTAGGTGCAAGTTGTCTCTATTCGGAAACAATTAGTGACCACTGAAAAAATGTTAACCATGGTGTAAATCTTTTTAGGTGAAAGTTAATTACAGATTTCTATTTCAGTATTTCTATGGAAGAAGCCCTGGATTTATTATAATTTTCTCATGTTTTCTTGTACAAAACAGATAATCAATTCAAGATAAGAAACCATGACAGTGGAAACTGATTCAAATGTTAATCACTCAAACCTTGAAATGGAGCCTACCCAGTCTTTGGAAGATGGAGCAATCCAACAAGTACCAGGCAAAAAGAAAAAGTCCTGTTGCACTGGCTTGAAGGTTCAGTGGATTACTATTATTCATTACTGTTGTTATTTGTTGAGCATTGATAATATGTGTGTTCTTCTTCAAGGTATATAAGCAGGCGTGGTTCTTGTTCCCTCTGTTTTTTTCATCCAATTAATAAAAGAATATTAGGAGTTTTATTTAAAAAATATACAAATCAATAATAATAAATACATAATGTATGGCTCTTTTGTAGAATTTTTCATCTGTAGAGCTCAATGTACTCCACGAAGGAGGTCAGCATCTTTATCCCCATTTTACAGATGTGGAAATTGAAGCACAGGGAGGGATGTGATTTGCCCACAGTCACCCAGCAGAGCAGTGGCAGAGCCGGGAGTTGAACTGGGTCTACTGAGTCCCTGTCCTGATAGGCAAAGTTCAAAAAGTTGGTTTGGCCAAACACTCAAGGTGTCAGGAAAATAATAATATTTAGCTCTTATTCACAGATCTCAAAGCACTTTATAAAGGAAGTAATTATCATTAGCCTCATTTTACAATAGGGGAAACCGAGGCACAGGGAGGTGAAGTGACTTGCCCAAGGTCACCCAGCAGAGTGGTGTAACCAGGAATAGAACCCAGATCTTCTGAGTCCTCATCTGATGCTGTAACCCCTAGACCACACTGACTCACTTAAATTATGTAAAGTCTTGACTAAATAGGGCTGGAAAACTAATGAAAATTTTGCTTTCTTGGTATAATATTTGCTGCTTCTGGTTAAGCGGGAAGTACCATGAAATCAGTATTTCTTGTGGTATTATTATGTGTTTGACTTCTGCTCAGGCTAGGCCCATGGGCCAAATTCATACTTGGTGTAACTCCATTAAAATCAATGGAGCTGCAACCGGGGATGAATTTGATCTGATCAGAGGCCTGTAATAAAATTATAAAAATAAGTGAATCCAACTTTTTCAAATATTCAAAATGGCTTGGTTCACGTTTGGGGCAAAGGTTAGCATATTCCTTATTTGAGCTGAACCCATTTTGCCACCCCTATATATCTCCAATAGTAGTTGGACTGCTCTCAAACTCTCATATCCCTGGGAGTCTCATTGGACCAACTTCACCACTGGCATAAGTAGGCATGGAAGTTAGTGAGTTTGTATCCACTTATCCCAGTGGTGAGTGTGGCACAGAATGTTCTAGAAACTAGAATTTAATAGACACAATAACTTTAATGTTAGGGGTGAGCGCAATTTTTTCAGTTACAATGAGAATCACCTCATCTTCCTATCAGACTTTGGAGTCAATTTTTTGGGGAGATTCAAAACAGTTCTGCTAACTTCTTGCTTGTGTGGCAAGGTTTAAAACAGTTCAATTAACTTTTTTGTTCCTACTTTCGTGCTTATTTGCTTCAGTCAGAACCAGACATAAAACTACTGAAAATAGTGCCCCCCCCCAAAAATCTCAGAATTGTTGGACCCAGTAAATATGAAAATTCTTAGACTAAAGCCTGCTTTTGTGAGATGTTTCAGTCAAATTTCTAGGCAAAACCAGCATCCAACTCCTTTTAAAAACATTTTCTCTTAGGATTTGCTTTGCTTGTCATCTGTTGCAGTAAATAGCATCATAAAGTTCAAAACCCATTTTAATTTGTTCACTTATCTACTGTTAGGTTAAACAAGCTATTTTAACTTTTACCCTGAGGGCAACAGGTTTATTTGTTTGGGATTCAGTAAAAAGCTGTTATGTTGAAATATCTGGATAATATTTAACCACTCCTAGACTGTCTTGTCATCATAAGCATGGTTTTATTTGCAATCATTGCAATACTAAATAGAGTTAGTGTCGAAGCAAAGTGTGTATTCAAATGCTCTTGTTTTAAAAAAAGTCTATAAAAAAGTCAAATACAAACATTTCCTTTGCAAAGGGGTACAACACAAATATCATCCAAATACTTCGAACTTCATCCAAACGGGGATGAGATTGCCAAAGAATCTGTACAAGACCTCCAAAAAGAGGGATATTGTGAAGCTTGTGGCTAAGCCCTATGTTGTAATACCAACACGACTTCTAACCTGGGGATGGACAAACTGACTTAAAAAAAGTAACAACTGAATTGATGCTAAGATTCATTTACAGTTTGAACTCGTTTCAGCAAGTGGCCCCTGACCAGAGCTCTTATTCTTGTTAATTATTTGTATTCTGGTAGCACCTTGAGGCCTCAAGGTTTCTTCTGCACCCAATTGGTCTCAGTGTTGTGGATAGCTTGAAAATTGATGTTAGGTTTCAGTAGGGTAAACTGTCCCTATTGAGCTGGTTGCTGTCTACAGATTCTGTAATCCAGGGCGCTGAGGTTCAGAAGCACAAATTCTATTCTGGGGAGCCTTTGACCAGCAAAGCAAAGGAGGCTGTGCTTTCTGGATGCTGAAGCTGGCAATGCCATACTAAGCACAAACAAAGCTAAGCTTTGGGTTGTCTCGTGCACATGACTTCTGTAGATCACAAAGAGACCAGAATGGGAAGAAAACACTTCTGAAAGCCCAGGGGGAGCTTCTTGCAGGATCAAGGCCTCATATTGTGTTAGAAAAATCATATTTTCCCCATTGGAGTTTGATTAGTAAAGTTAATTAAATTAAGATTTAATTCATGCAGATTGTTCTATAGATTTAAGTTCTCTTGGTCTCTGTATTAATTTCTCCTCCCTTACCTCCCATCTTCTGTCTTCATCTTTCTTCAGGTATTTCTCGTTGCTTTGTCATTCAGCTACTTGTGCAAAACATTATCTGGAACAGTTATGAAAAGTTCCATCACTCAGATAGAAAGAAGATTTGATATTCCCTCCTCTATAGCTGGCTTAATTGATGGAAGTTTTGAGATGGGTAATTGGTATTCCGTAACATACAGTAAATTACTCAGAGCAAATACAATGAACAGCATCTACTAGTAATGTTTTCTTTGCTTTTTTAGGTAATTTGCTGGTGCTGGCATTTGTAAGTTATTTTGGAGCCAAATTTCATAGACCAAAAATCATTGCTTTGGGGTGTTGTATTATGTCAGCTGGAAGTATTTTAACAGCAATGCCTCATTTCTTCATGGGATAGTAAGTATTCACTAAGGCTAATTTAGGTCCACTGGGATTCTATACTACTTTCTCCATTTTGTCAAATGAACACCACTGTATTTTTAAAGTTTGGGATTATCAAAAGGCCTAAGAATAAATTAATATTTCGGGCCGACCTAAATGGAGATCAGAATAAATATACAAGTCAGGCAACTCCACAGATACACTAGCACGCATTAGAACAGGTGGGAATTCCCTTCCCCTGGTCCAAAATATCAACTTTTTTTCAAAAATCAGAACCACCAAAATGTTTCCATTTTCAGCTAGAAATATTTTGGTTTGGTTGGTTTGTAGGCTTTTGAGGGAAAGTAGACGTTTTCTGTAAAAAGCGGACACTTTCCATGTGAATTTATATTCCCTGAAAACCAAAATTTTCCACCAAAAATCAATTTTGATAGAAAATTTTTCATCAGCCCTAGTGCGCATCATGCTGCTTTTCAAGACATTACTATGGCTAACTCTAAGGGAAAAGTCTTAGGAAATTGCTGGGACTATAGAAGGAATGAGATATTGCTCAGTGTGAGGAAGGATGGTAGAGTCTGGCCTTAAACAGGGTTATTGCATGGAAGGTTAAAGTATGATGAATCACAACAATTTCAGTTGAATAATTATATTTTAAAATTATTTCATATGATTTCTGTAACTGGGTATTTTTGTAGTTATGAACAGGACCCTGAGACTCCATTACAAGAAAGCACTTAAGCTTGTGTGAAACTTGAAGCGTGGGAGTAATCCAACGGAAGTCAGTGGAACTACTCCTGTGATTAAAGTGTTTCAGTGCTGTATTGGGGCCTTAATCCAAAAAAGTCGAAAAGATGCATTCTACTCCAAGAGCATGTTTGACTACATTGTCCAACATCTTTAATGTCCAACATGATGGAGTCTCCGCAGCAGCAGTAACTCTAGTTTTCAATAATTGCTCACAGTCATTCGAATGCTGGTAAAATGGAAGAGTAGAGTGTGACAAATATGGGAATTCCCTGAAATATCCTAGGGGAAAGCCTTATTGAATTAAGTTTAAATATCTTTGAGGTCCACTGTATTAAATGCAAAATTTATGTATTATTGTAGTTCAGGATTTTGCATAAATTCTCTAGGGGGGAAGATGTGATATGAGGATCTGGGAGTTCAAAGGATTATACTGAAAATGTGCCAGACAAGAATGGACTTTTGGGACAATAAATGTGAAGTGGATTTCCTGGGGAATACCTAATATTAATGCAAATTCCCTGCCTCTAGTTATGCGAAAAAACAGTCTTTCAAAGCCACATCTTGAGGAGAGTGTCATTGTCTGCTGATTACCTGTTCCTGGAGATGGGCGATCAAAGGCCTGAGCTATATAAAGAAACTGGCTGATCTGTCCAGTCTTGGTTCTGGTTCTGAATCTGAAACAGTTATGAAATGGGGGAAACCTAGTTTTGGGTTTTGAAGCACTGACACTTACCAGAACCCTAGGCTGGAGTGGGGTGTGTGCGTGTGTGACCTCTGCGTGTAGGTTCTTTTATTGTTTGAATGTGTTTTCTCTGTAATTCTTTCACCTTAAGAATAAAGGTGCTTGCTTAGAAAGAGCTGTGTGGTAACTTATAACTATTGGCAATACACTTGCCATAACCTCTGGAGAGAAAGCAAATTGCAGACGCTGTTTTTTTAGAAAGTCTGGCTTGTTGGGGATATCAGTGTAAATCAGGAATCAACAGTTCAGCCTCAACACTATTTTCAGGAGGGAGAGAGACGTGGGTTTCAGCCCTAGAGAAGTGATGACTGAGGAGCTGGGAGCCTAGTGTGTGTGTCTTTGGTGGACCAGGAAGGGGGAATACATGTGCACTTACCTGGAAGCTGTGATCTAGGGATTACTCATATAAGGTTCCAAACTTCACCTGTGAAGGTGCCCTGCAGAAATGGGAGTTGAAGAAATCCAGCACTTTAAAGGAGGATTCTAATTAGTAGCTTACGGTATTAGGCCATATATTTGTAAGGGCTGATCCTGCACACCCCTACTTGAGCAAATAGTCATTACTCATACAGTGGCTTCAGTGAGACTTTTCAGGTGAGTGTTTGCAGAACTGGGCCAAAAGTTCTGTTCAGGGTGCTCATACCAATAAAAATCCTCAAGTCTAGTGAAACTAATTTGCCAACAAATGTATCATCTCTTTGTTCAGAGAAGCACTGTTTTGTCTACCCATGACATTGCTTCTAGCAGAAATTTTGATTCAGTGACAAATATACAATGCAACACATTTCTATTCCTATATTCAATACTATAGAATCTTTTATGGGTGTCACAGTTCAAGGCAACCACACCTGTATTCCCCCTCTATGGTCCTCACAAGTTTCCAATTCCCCAGCTGTTACTTCTTTCAGGCAGAGGCATGTGTCTCCCTACCTCATGACTGGAAGATTTTCAGGCTACACACTTCCTGCCTACACTGTGTATCCCCAGCAAAAGAGACAGCCTAAGCAGGTTTCCTTTGCCTTCTCTTCAGAGGCTATAAACAGTGTGATTTCTCACAGTTAAGTTACCACATCGCTCTTCCTAAACAAGCACATTTTATTTTTATTGTAAAAGCATTATAGAGAAAACACATTAAAACAATGAAAGAACTAACATGCATATTGATTAGTTGATCAGAGATCACCCCAACTGTGGCAGGTGAATATTCCTTCAATTCCCACCAAGGGAGTTTTCTGGGGTTACAAGTTCATAACTGCTTTGTCTTGGAACAAGAATCCCCATGAATCTGTCTGTCACTCCTTTCTCCAGTTTGTCTTTGAAGAGACTGTGAATAGATAATCAGCCAGACAATGGGTTTCTCCTCAAGGTACAGGATGATTCAAAAGGATGATTCCTGAGGTGGGTAATTTACATTCCCCTCCTGCCAAGTATTTCCTAGGAAACTCACTCAACTGAAAGTTCAGTCTTGTTTGGCCTATTGAAGCTCATACCACTTCCCAGGTTTACATTAGTCCTGTCTCCCTGTTAAAGAAGTTACACACAATTCCACAATAATACATAAACATTTGCATTCTTTCAGAGTGGTAACCATGTTAGTCTGTATCAGCAAAAAGAATGAGGAGTACTTGTGGCACCTTAGAGACTAACAAATTTATTTGAGCATAAGCTTTTGTGGGCTAAAACCGACTTCATTGGATGCATGCAGTGGAAAACAGCAGGGCCGGCTCCAGGCACCAGCTTAACAAGCAGGTGCTTGAGGCGGCCAAGGGAGAGAGGCGGCACCTGCGGCAATTCGGGGGCTGCAGGTCCCTCACTCCCTCTAGGAGCGAAGGACCTGCTGCTGAACTGCCGCCACAGTTTTTTTGCTTGGGGCGGCAGAAATGCTGGAGCCGGCCCTGACACAGAGAACATGAAAAAACGGGTGTTGCCATACCAACTGTAACGAGAGTAATCAATTAAGGTGGGCTATTATCAGCAGGAGAAAAAAAAACTTTTGTAGTGATAATCAGGATGGCCCATTTCCAACAGTTGACAGGAAGGTGTGAATAACAGTAGGAGGAAAAATAGCATGGGGAAATAGTTTTTACTTTGTGTAATGACCCATCCACTCCCAGTCTTTTAGTCAAACCTAATTTAATGGTGTCCAGTTTGCAAATTAATTCCAGTTTCTCGTTGGAGTCTG